GTGGCTTTTTTCTTGGATTAAGTCACACATAGATAATATCATGCTTATACTACTCTCATCTCGCTCGCTTAGCCTCTCCTTCTCGCTCATTTTGCAGCGATTGCGTGCTCCTCCTGACGATACATTATTCAAGCGTTAGTTGTTTCAAATGTAACCGGAGCCGATATTCTTGCTCGTCGGCGCTATGTTGCCTGCAGTCGCACGTGTCTTCTACCTGACCATTGTCGCCTGCTGCGTACTTAAGCTCAAACTTGTAGCTCAAGTTCTACTGCTCACCACTCGCGATTGCTGAAGTTTGCCTGGATCCCTATTAATGGTCAGCGGAGCTTCAAAGAATCCTTCGCGGGAAAATCTCTATTGACTTAGATCACTGGCTTGAGGCCCATGTTCACGATAGAACGGAAAGAACAAAAAATTGCATTTGTTTTGGTAAACAATTCGAAAAACTGGAAGGACTGCTACGCGTTCAAATTCCGCCGGACATCTGTCACAAATGCTGGCGGCGGGAACGCTTCCACTTGGTTCACGGAGTGCTGTCACTAGAAACTCTTTTTGACCTTTTGACTTATTGCACTGACATCTCACACTTCTACTGCATCCTATTCTATCGATCGTTTGTCTCTATTCTCCAAAATCGCACGCTTTAACCCGATTCTTTCATTGCGTCGCCTGATACGTAGCCGCCAAGGCGCACTTCTTTCCATGCCCCGCCTTTGGCTCCGCGCCGAATTACCTTCGATTGTCCATAGAGTGTAGTTTTTGTGTTTGTTTCTCTTCGGAAGTTTAATCGTGAAACTTTGTCTTCTGTTGTCTCCGGTGATCACAACTGATACATTCATGATGAGAGCGAATGCAAGAATTCCCGAGGAAGGATTTCTTTTACTTCTCTAGGCAGGATATAGCAGTATTTACCTTCTATGAGATGAGCCCTGTCCAACTTTTAACATCGTCTCAAAATTTTTGAAGAAGTTCATTGAGCAAAGCTGTGGCAAGAGCAGTCTAGCGGAAGACTCAAAGGTTTCCATTCCGGTCTCGTACTTTTCACTGGTGACTTTTTCCATGATAAACACCTTGCCCGTCGTGTCCCTACTCATGTAGTCGTTAAAATGTATTGTTTGCCGAGTCTGTGCACAGCTTGATATAGGTGGCTCCTCATTTGCAAAAGACTACCGTAACCGTTTTAGCTCGATTCTTGAGATGTTGAGATTCTTGAGATTTCTTGAGATGTCGTAAAACATTGACTTGCACACTCACTTTGTTAGTCATGTTAAGGAAAAACTCAGGTAAAAAAAATAAATGGCCAAAGAATGCTCATTTTTCACTCTTAACTCCTCTTCCGAATGAATACGTGAACACCTCCGAAGATTCAAAAGCTGCTCAGTGAGCTGTTAGTAAATCTGTGCGACATTTATATTGCAACAACCTAATAATCGAGTGAGCCGAAATTGTCGGCCATAAAGGTACTACTTTTTCATAGGAAAGATTCCAAAATAGGTAAATTGAAAATGTATCACACCACATACGAGGAAGCCTAAACTTCTCTAACAAGGGAGGTCTTTCAGGGCAAGCCACGCTTTTTCAAAACGGTTTTGTGCATATTGTAGGGACGCATGTAGGGAACGCAAAACCATGTTTCATTTTCGCTGAACGGTTTTAGCAGTACCAAAAAAGAAGCATAAGGTACTGTTAATGGTTCGATCCCCCGTGGCGACTAAATTTTGCATTTGGGTTGGCGCCTTTTGGTGCCAAATCGCGCTAAATGTCAAAATCAGATGTCATATTCATCGTCAGGACCATTTTGAAGCCAACAAGTGGCCGCCAACCTTGATTGCAAAATTTAGTCGCCGCGGGGGATCGAACCATCAAGGGTATCATTCACCACTTTTTGATACTACTAAAAAACCGTTCAGCGAAAACGAAACATGGTTTTGTCCATACAATATGCAAGAAACCATTTCCGAAAAAGCGCGGCTTGCCCTGAAAGACCTTCTTTGTAAGTGAACAATAAATGATCTCCTGAAAGCTCACCTCCGACGTTGGATCCAACACAAACAGTACATCTACGCAAGCGATTGCCGTTTCACTGACCAGAAGCAGGACCAGGCCAACTGCCAGTGCTGATCGCATGTCGAGGACAACAACAGAAATCCAGTGACGCGATAACTGCTGTGTTTGCAAATCTTGGGACGAGATCTGAGATGTGCATATCGATGAGAAGATTACACGATCAGCATATTTGCGCGGAGTGGGATTGATGAGAGCGAAGAGTTTTGGAGTGAAGACAGAATGAAATGGACGAGTTTACGAGGGGATCCCAGATGATTATCTTAATTTGATTATCTGCATCTCGAGATTTAATGTACTTTCCAAACAAGGGTTTGCAAATGCTAGAGAATTATCGAAATATTTTTGACCTTTCCAACTTTTCTCTTGCTTGTGTGGGGGTTAAGAATACGGAAACCAAGTCGCTGCCCATCTACAAAATACTTCGAATGTTTTTTCATTCCATTTCAAGCACTTTCTCTGCCCGGACATTTTCAGAGTCCAAGTTGAATGAAGAAGTTTCAGCTTGTCGAACCAAAATCGACTAATTGAAACAAAAAATGTCCAGTAAGTAAGTTAGAAACTGCTGCTGTTGATCATATCATCGTTGGAACTATCATCAAATTCCTATGGTTGAGAATCAATGAACGTATGAAAATGTGAAGAAGAAAAACCGGAATAGATCTGTAACTTATATGAATAGTTTCAGAAAGGACGCTTTGGGTCACGGGCCCGTTTACCCCGCCCCTGGCGTTGTCAGCCACTTGATCTGTACAGATTGGAACCGCGGACCGGTTATGGTGTTAAGAATTGACAGCCAGTTAATCTTTACTTCTGGATCAGGGCCAGATCACCAATAAACAAATCCGCTATACTGCAATAGTCCTGGCTTTAGCCGCTACAAGAAAGGACGATGACAATCGTCTCTTCAAAAAAACGCGTTCTGATATTCCAATAGGCCAAAGACCACTCAAAGCATTCACGAAACTAATCCAAGACTTCTTCCTAAACTTGAGCTCATGCTTGAAGGAGGATCCTACGATAAGCTCAAGAAGGGGGAACTTACCTAGTGGGGAGACAGGCGACCTCCTAAGGGTGCGGCACAATCCGCATCGGAGGATATACCCCTGGCGATCTAGTATGATCTTCCCCGTGGTGCTGTTTTCGCTCTATCGGCGCCCCCTCACACTTCTAGCTATAGCCGTTCAGCAGAGAGAGCGTTAGCGTTGAAGAGGGCAGCACCGATGAGAGTCGCATCAATGCGGAAATCAACGGGCAAGGAAGGGTCCCATTTCTCGGGTTCTGGCCGTTTCTTTTTTTTCTTCTTTCGTGCATCACTGACCATCTCTAACTTAATTTTCAATGGGCTGCCTTTCCATGGTAAAATCCGCCTTCAAATTGCAGTAAGCAGAAAGATTCGCCCTAAACGTTTCGGGGTAGCGTTGAGCATCATCCGCTCATCCAGAGCAATTTTGAGGCATGAGGAAAGGAGCGAGCTTTTCTTCGATGTGAAAGTTATGTTATACCCAGATATTTGGCACGGCTTTAGGAAAGTATATTCATCGAAATGCAGCAAATACATTGTAACACCCATAAGTCAATGTCAACATACGCTACATGACCTTCTGGAACCCTTGCGCAAGTAGCGAAAAGAGCCTTAGGTTGGAACCTCCCAGTTTCATTCTCACCCGATAGGTCTCTTCCGCTCCTCCCTATTTTTGGTATGTATCAATGTGTATCGGGAGGAAGTGATTTGGTGGCAAGTGGCGCACACCAAACGCACAGGTCGGGATCAAATTCTGGATCGTACACCATCCATACCAACCGGGTCTTTCATCTGTCCTGGGTATCATATTCTCGTCTGGGAGGACAGAACCACTAACTTGTACATCCGGTGACCACCGCAAGGCCAAATCGCACTCTAATCGTCGTTACGATTCTCAACAAAGGTAGTATGCATGGTGCATCCCAAAAGAGGATTAATTAACAACGGATGCATAAAATCATGTGGACTGAATTATTTTCTTTTTGTTTTGCACCTAAAATCGAATATGGACACAGTGTTGCTTCTACCTCCGGAAAGGACGCTCATCCTCTTAAGAATGTTCAAGACAAACTCCGGAATTGAACTGGTGCTATTAGCGCTCTGTAGGGACAGCTTATTTGCGGAATGACCTGCAAGTGGAAAGGAAAGCACGAGAATCTTTGAGAACGCTGAAATTAAGGTCCACCTTTTTTCAGAGCCGGATGTGGTACGATGCGAGAGAGGCCGGTCAAAGATGAAGACAAAAAGCGCGAGAGTCGCCGTCGTTTTGAGACAGCACAGCTGGATTTTACATACAATTGCACCGCTGTTCTCACCACCGTCATCGTGGTGGTGAGCAAGCGTTGGAACATTGGGTCGGTGGTTTGTGGTCCTGTAGAGTATTCTATCGCCGCCAAGCTCCGCGAAATTTTCTGCAGGTTGCAAGCTTGGAGGATTCTAGCCAGCTAAAGACCTCTCCTCACATAATTCCGCCCGGTATCCCTCCTACTAGTCGGGCCAATCCCAGGGTTTGCCTTTGGGGTATTTCAACCTCCGAGCTGCTGAAGATGCTTGTACGTTTGGTTTCCACCATAATTAAAATACACCTAAGGCATATAAAAATTCATTATAAACACAAGGAATCACATGGCACAATCGTCGAGTTAACAAAAATATGAGCAACCTGAAAAACCGTAACAATTGGGTAGTTCAACAGTACCACCAAGTGCTTGAGGAGCTTTCGTTGACAGGCAACGTTTCGCCAAGCCGTATGGAGTTGCTACTTTGATGCCATGTAAGGAACTGGAGCTACAAGTTCCTTGATTTCTCGGGCGATCTTCAGGAATGCCTGAAGAAGGGATAACTGACTCACTGAAGAGCACGAAAGCACGAGTCGGTATAGTTATCTCAGTACTGGAAAGACTGAAACTTTTTCATGTAACAATTACAATAAAAAATCGATAATAAATGATCTATATGTAATCCATCCCATCAGGCTGGTGCTCCATTCCAGCGCCGACGGTTTCTTCCCGTGCGCGGCATAGCAGCGGTACCGTCCCTCCACGAAGTGAAGAGCCAAAACGTGCTCCCCACTTTTGACCTTTGACTCTGATTCTTTGGCTGTGCACTTAATTTCTGAATGGTTTTCAAAATTTTTGCTTGTAGTTTGTGACTAGAGTCCCTTGAAGTACGGTATAATCATAGCAAAAGCAATGAGGTGATTATCTAGTTCAGAGTAGTTGGGTGATGTCTAGCCTCCTAACAAGTTATGTTGCACGCCCGCGCTCCACCATAGGCGTTTGACATTGTCTAGCTTGGCACTAACACGAGCAGGTGCTCTCCTTACCAGGAAGGTCTTTCAGGGCGTGACAAGCTTTTTGAAAACGGTCTTTTGCATGATATAGGGGCAGATGCGGGAACCACAGAACCATGTTCAATTTTTCCTGAACGGCCCTCTGAATACCAGAAAAGGAGGTCCCTAGTTCGATTCCTCGTGGTAACAAATTTTTGCATTTCGAGTTGACGTGCCAAAATTCGCGCAAAATGGAGTTAGAACCAACCAGAACAATCAGAAAAGACTGTTTTCAAAAAGCTCGTCACGCCCTGAAAGACGGTTCCTTGGTTAACACCTATTCGCTCAGTTGTTCGCACTGAAAATCTGTGACGGCTATCTGTACGCACTTTTGGAAAGGATGGAAATAAAGAATAGGATGCGGTGCTACATTGAGCAGCTCTCCCTTGACAATAGAGCATTGTTTGTAACATATGTACTTCTGGTAACTTTTGCCTGAAGTTGGGTAAGTACGCGACCAGAACTTTACGTCGAGATCACCAATCTTACATTGCGCTACATTAGTTTCACCTAATCTCGCTATTTCCTCATTGGTTGAGGGAACGTTGCGGCATCACATCGAATCTCTCGTGACATCCTGCTGAGGAAATCCGCCTTTTCAGAGACTTTTTCACGTTGGCCCGAATCAATGCTGGGAGGCAGAGGAATCGGGGGTGCACGGGACACCCGCGTGGCCCCCACATGCAACCGTTTTCTCGTTGAGCATTGGAACGGATAACTGATGCCGAGAGTTACCGTTCTTTTTTCCGGCAGATATCTTTCACGAATGTGACAATTGTTCTAAAAGCTGAATGATATTTGTATGATTTTGAGGTTTATTATCGGATATAATAGTTAGAACACAATATCAAGATAGAACCAGAACCAAGTCACAGATAAGTATTAGGTTGGAAAGAACAGTTCTGCAATACTCTCAAACGCTGCTCCGCGCTCTTAAAGGAGGAATTCACGATTATATTAGATAAGGGTCGAAGAAAGGGAAACTGACCTAGTTGAGGGACCCACGGACCTCCTGAGGGTGCGAACTGACGCGCAATTCGCATGGAAAAATTTGACCTCGGCGACCTATCATGCCTCAAAGCTGGCGGGTCCGGCGATCTCCGCCCACCGATCATCTGATCACTCGCCGTAGTTCAATACGTGGCGAGTGATTAGATAGCTGAGAGAGCGTAGTGTTGAAGAGGGCACAGCGATGAGAGTCGCATCAATGCTCGAATCAACGGGCAAGGAAGGGGTCCATTTCTCGGGTTCTGGGCCGTTTCTCATGGTTCTTCCTTCTTTCGTGTACCACTCACCATCCCTAGGTTAATTTGAAATGGGTTGCTTTTTCATCGTGAATTCGTCCTTTAAAGCATTTTCGAGGCTTCAATCCACGAGGTGGATATAAGTGCTGCAGTCAGTAGTTATCCAAGAAAATTCAAAAAACCTCGACCACTAGTAAATCCATACTCCGAGTCACTGTCTAGTACAAATGTCTCCATAACTATGGATTCGTGTCAACGACCAACACTATCTGCAATAGCTTCAATAGGCATGCGTTCACCGCTACAGCGTGTTTCACCTTTACCAGCGCTTTCGATCTTTTGATATTTTTATAAGAAGCCAGCAGCGTCCCGCACACTCCATTACAGATAGGGTTCTCGTCTTACGTTCTTCCTATGTAATTTGTATCGATTGGTGCGCTAAACTGAACCTGGAAAATGTTTCTTGCAAAGCGTTCATGTTTTGCGAGAAACATTTTCCAGGTTGTATTCAACGCACCAGTCGATTTGTTTTCCTTTGATAGAAGAGCTCTTGGACTAAATTCGTTCTAATTTGAAATCAGGAGCTCAGGGAAGCCTCGATACTTCCTTCATTGATTTACACGTTCGAGTAGTGACTTTTTTAACGACATCGTCAACATTGCAGGCAACTAACCTCTTCAACGTTTTCCGACGATTTGGCGGACGTCTCAATGAATTGCATGAAGTTTTCATCGGCAAATTTCTGAAATTGCAGATGATGGGGTTCCAAAGTGGAGAACCAGTACATGCTTTAGACATCTCCGACTTTCGCATCACCTTATCCCCACCGTGCCATATAAGTGAGATCAGGTTAGATTTTGGTCGTTAAAGATACGGGGCACAGTAGTAGCAATGCATTTGAACGCGCAAAAGACTTCCTTTCTGTTAGAAACGGGGCCGAACCCTAGGCGAGGATGGAAGACTGCGTGGTGCGTGAGCGATTTCCATTTTCTTCAAAATTCCTGCCAATCTAAAGCTTGGTCCTGGTGGATGCTCCCAAATCTTGCGATAGCGCCAGTTTTTGTTTCTACAACATTTCAACTGTAGATATTGATGGAGATAAACATACATAATTCCGAAGAAATTGCTAGGAAAGTTACGGTGGAAAAGCCTAAAATCGGACACGATTATTGAGGGCTCACCCTTCACGATTCCCCGTGGCATCAAGGACAAATGACCCGTCTGGTCCACACGAATAACTGAGACTGAGATTTATCATCAATCTCTCATCCCACCCTATCGAGCCCTCTATCTTCCAATTACGATTTGCTTCCTCACCTTCAGCTGTCTAAAGATATTGATGGGGGAGAAATACACACAATTCGAGTAGTCAAATTTGTCAGTATAACCTAATTACCTTAGAAATGCTCTGAAATATGCACTGTGATTCCTACGACCTCTAAAACTAATGGGAATTGACCTCTGATTCTCTATCCTTCAATCCATTGCGAACCCTAACGGCGGCTCGTTCCTACTTGCCTCCCTTTTCGCATTTTTTGTGCAACTTCTTACTCCCACTATCTAAGAGAACAGCTAATCTAAGCTAACCGATGCAAAATCAACCCGCGTAGCAATATTGACCGCGGCGATTTTGCGTAAGCCCAGGTAAATGCAACAGGCATTGTACTGCTCACTCAGGGTGAAATCATCGTCGAGGATTCCTGCTAAGGCTTGACGAGGATTTTCAGCCTGAAATGAGTTGATGCTGCTCCGCGCCGTCATTCACATGTCGCCATGCACTCGAAGCTGTCTGTGGCTTCGGCGCGCACATGTTCACTCTCGGCGCTACTCTCGTACAGCACGGAGCCATGGTAGAGGAATTCCTCGATCGTTATTCACCCTGCTGGCCACCATTAGTGAAGGGAAATCAGTCCTCATACCTTGGCATCGCTGTAACTGACTTTTCGTGCGGAGTCCAGATCAGATTTGTTTCCTACCAACAGCTTTATCACGTCATCACCAGCGAACCTTTCGATATTTTTGAGCCAATAGGGTACGCTATCGAAGGTCTTCTATAAAAGTAAATTGGAACTGCTAAAAAACGATGACGAATGAGTTTTCAAGAGACCTCATTCGTGATGTCGTAGACGATCAGAATTCCGTGGGCGCCACGATAGTAACTAGAGGCAAGAGTTCGAAACTGCTTCTTGACCTGCAGTATCCCACTGAAACGATGACATGACCATTTTAAAGCGTAGGTAATAAGGAGTGGCAGTAAGAATGCATTGCTGGACAAGTCACCGGCTAAACACCGCTATTAATAGTGTGTGATCAAGTTCTGCCTTATCGTTTCAATAAAGCAATCCTCCTTGAGTACGAATGGTCCTCGAGGGCACAGCGCGATGCGAATACCAAACGCGAGCGCCGAATTCTATTATACTTCTTTACTTCCGCGATAAACCCTTTTTTTGATGTGCGAAAATCAACTCACTATTTGCAGCTTTATCGTACAGTTGTCGACCACCATAGTGCGGACTTTCTGAAAGTAGCGATCCATAATGCACTTGATAATCAGGGTGAAACTGTAGCTTGGGGAGAGGAGGGGGCACTCATTGCGCATTCCAATCCCAAAGATGCTGCAGAGGTTCTCACGTGGACTGCAAAACTAGGGTCCATTCTCGCTGAGCGGCTTCTTGTTGGCTAAAAAAGGGTTGAAGAAATTTGATTGCAGTGGATAATGGCGTTGCACAAGAGAAAAGGACCTCTCGGCAAAGAGCACCCGATCCTTGTCACGGATCTGGAACTTGCTCTTCGCGCTAATGGCCGGCTATTTGGAAGCTCTAAACAAAAATTCAATCTTTTTGTCCACGGGAAATTGAGCCTTGGACCATTTCCTCACCATTTTTTGGCCTTCACGGGGCTACTCAGCGAAAATGGACCTCGGTTTTGTAGTCCACGCATGAGTTCCCATAAGATGCAGAAAAAAGTTTTGAAGAAGCGCTCCATACCCTGAAAGACCTCCCTTGTGAGACCTCCCCGGAACCAGGAAAAAGTCAAATAGATCTTAAGGAAGAGTAGAAAATTTGCCATTGATGGGTTATGCTTGCATCAAAGGGATGGAACACAACCCAAATTTTGTGAAATGATCATAGCTCCCCGAAAACTGGCAAAAAGCGTACAGAGGCTATCGGAGTAGAAGAACTCAAGCCCTTTCAAAATTTAGTCTCACTGCTCGATTACGCATTTATTTGTAAGTGGTGAGCCAGAGTGGTAACATATATGATAATA